CACTTGCGTTGCAGACGCGGCTGTGGAGGGAAAGGTGGCGGTTCCCCCTGAGGAGGGTGTTTGTCTTTAAAGCTGACGCTCCCCGTCCCCCTCCCCGCAGGGAAGGCTGAGGGCGCTGCTGGCCTGAAGTCCTTGTTGGGGTCCCCGCCCCGGAGCCTCTCTCAGCGGTGAGTCCGCGTCCCGGGAGGCTGCGCGGTGCGGGCGCCACGTGCCTTTGGGAGGAAACGGAGGCCCGGCCCGTGGTCTCTCCGCCTGTGGCTGTGGCCACCGCCTGCCGCGCGGTTTTCCTGCTGAAAACCGTTCCCGGGGCTTCCGGTCCTCCCCGCGGGGCTGAGAGTCTGGGTCAGGGGGTTCCCGCCCTTTGCGCCCCCCCCCCTCCACGCCGGGCGCTTTCCTCCCAAAGAGCCCGGATGGCTCCCGGCCTGGGGGTCTGCACCCCATCTCCTAGCCCCACCGCAAAGGCTTGGGAAACCTGCACCTGTACAAGTTCCTGCTTCTCCCCCTCCCAATCCCCACAGGTCCCAGGGCTGCTGGGTCTGGTGTCTTGTACCCAGCGCCCCTGAAAACAGCTCTGGGGCAGCCTGGGAGGCCGAGGAGGGAACTAGTCAAAGATGCTGGTCAGGGCCCCCAGGGCAGGCTTTGTTCAGGCGAGGTAAGGGGTGCTCTGTGGGGTTGGGGGTTCAGCAGAGCAGCACATGTGCTCATTCCTGTAGGAGTTTGTGGAATGTTTGATACATGAAGACAGAAAAAAAATCTCAGTGTGGTCTCCCTGTAGGAGCTCATTGTTCCTCACTCTCTCCTGTGACAAAGGACAGGAGGGGGTGTCCTTTTCCTCATTTCCAGGTCCTTCTGACTGTGTGAGGGGAGCTGATTAACAGGCTGTGGGGACGCCTTTGAAGGCACATTCTGTGACTCCTCAACACATTGTCTCCTGAGGAAACAACCCAGACCCCATCAGGACCAGGACCAAATGGCTGCTTCTCAGGTAAAAGATGTGTCCGGGGTCAGAGGCTCTGTTTGCTTTTCCTCTAACATTTGTTGATATATTTGTCTTTCTCTCATGCCTGTGTCCCCTGTCCCCTCTGCTCCCCTGTTGCACTGTGTCCTGTGACCTACAGCTAGCTCATTCTCAGTGCTGCTTTTCCCTCTACTTTGTCATCCCTAAACCCCCCTTCCTGTCCCTGCTCTCGCTTACCCAATTCTTTCTCGGTGAAGATCTTTACATCTTTCCAGGAGAATGTCTATGTAGGCCTTTTATTCTACCTTCCTTTATTATTTCTTGTAATGTCTGTGTCACAGGTTTTTTATTTCTTTGTTTATAATTTTTTTGGGTTTTTTTTATTGATTTCAAAGAGGAAGGGAGAGGAAGAGATAGTTAGAAACATCAATGAGGAGAGAGAATCATTGATAGGCTGCCTCTTACATGTCCCCAACTGGGGATCAAGTCCGCAACCCGCCCATGTGCCCTTGACAGGAATCAAACCTGGGACTTTTCAGTTCACAGTTCGGCTCTCTATCCATTGAGCCATACTGGCTAGGGCTGCATTATAGTTTTTGATAACAGAATCTTTGAAGTATGTTTTAAAATCAGGAAGCCTGAAGCCTTTAATTTCATACATTCTTTTCTTGATTGACTTGGTTGCATGGAGTCCTGTGACATTCACATTAATTTTAGAAATAGCTTTTCTATTTCTGCCAATAGTGTCAGCAGTTTCTATATTTCCCTCACTTTATATATATATATATATATATATATATATATATATATATATATATATTTATTTCAGAATGGCAAGGAGAGGGAGAGAGAGAGAGAAACATCAATGAGCAGAGAGAATCATTGATCAGCTGCCTCTTCCACACCCCTCACTGCAGATCAATTCTGAAACCTGGAGTCCGCCCTGACCAGGAATGGAACCCCGCCCTCCTGGCTCAAAGGTCAACGCTCTACCTCTGAGCCTCATTGGCCCGGCTATATTTCTCTCCTTTTCCAAGAGCCTTCTCTGCCTTCATTTTATGCAGCCTCCACAAGGTCAGGAAGCATTCCCACCTTTAATTAATGACTCTCAACTACTCAAAACATCCTTTTTATGACAGATCCACCTGGGAAGGCATCCATGTCTAACATCCCTATTGGGATGGGGTCAGAGGCTCTTGTGTCTTGAAGAAGGGAAAGGTAGGTTTTAGGTTCAAGTGGCTGCAGCATCAGCTCATGATCAGGAGTAAGAAAATGCACATTTTACTGCTCAAAATAGCTCAGCAAGTTCTTAATGAAGAGTACATAATAAATGGAAGAGACTTGCTCACGAGATTAGGGGGAAAGTTTTGGTACTCAAATATACTGTTTGCTTACAGAACCTGAGAGGTACCTGTGGGTTGGCACTTGCAAGAATTAATGTTTATTTGTGATCATTTCCACATAATGATTTCTTTATTGAGGTATTTTTGGCAGTAATGTCACAGCAGTGGTGACCTCACTTTTGTGTGCCTCAGTCACCTGATGCCCATTGTCTCAGGCTACCTGATGATCACGTGGCAGAGATGCTCCCTTCACTGTAGAGTTAATAGTCTCCCTTTCGCCGAACCGGTTTGGCTCAGTGGATAGAGCGTCGGCCTGCGGACTCAAGGGTCCCCGGTTCGATTCCGGTCAAGGGCATGTACCCTGGTTGCGGGCACATCCCCAGTGTGGGGCGTGCAAGAGGCAACTGATCGATGCTTCTCTCTCATCAATGTTTCTAACTCTCTATCCCTCTCCCTTCTTCTCTGTAAAAAATCAATAAAATATATTAAAAAAAAAAAAAAAACCCTAGTCTCCCTTTCTCAGAAACAAGGGTATAGTAGGGGTTTAATGAAAGATGTGCAAAGACCTCATTCACATCTGGAAATGTTCTTCTTCTTAGTTTGTGTTTGCTTTGGAAAATGAAGGACTTACTTTTATTTCAAGAGAACATTGGCTTTTTCATGGGATCTTTTAAACAATCAGATCTTGAGTTTTTAATTTTCATTATATTCTATACCAGTGATGGCGAACCTATGACACCCGTGTCAAAGGTGACATGCAAAGGCATTTTTTTGGTTGATTTTTCTTTGTTAAATGGCATTTAAATATATAAAATAAATATCAAAAATATAAATCTTTGTTTTACTATGGTTGCAAATATCCAAAAATTTCTATATGTGACATGGCACCAGAGTTAAGTTAGGGTTTTTCAAAATGCTGACACGCCAAGCTCAAAAGGTTCGCCATCACTGTTCTATACTCACATGAGAGACATACCCTACATGATCACTTTTTGTATTTTCTAGAAAGTTTCAAAGAATGTTATTAATGCATGTTCAGTTTCATTAAATTTCTATAATATAACTTTCCACTAATGATACATAAAAATTTGGAAAGAAATGTACTAGTAAGAAAAATTAGTTCCCTCAGTCTGGCGTGGATCAGTGGTGGAGGGTGTGATTCCTGGTTTCGGGCAAGTAGGTCCTGGGTACATGTGGTAGGCAGGCAACCCATGCGTCTCTGTCTCTCACATTGATGTGTGTGTGTGTGTCTCTCTTTCTCACTCTCACCTTTTCCCTTTTGTGCTTCTACCTCCCTGCCTCCTACTCTACGAAACTCATTGGAAAAAAACTCCGGAGGTGAGGATTTACAACCACACAAAGGAAATAATAAGTCTTCACTTGTTTTGTATCCTTATGTTTCTGTCCTTATTTTGCTTATAAAACAAAAAGGGGATCATACACAAATATATTCATGAGATTTACGGAATCACCTAACCATCTTGATTTCATACTTATAAGATGTGTGTCTCTGTGCCTAAATTGTTAACATTATTTCAAGTATTTTTTTTTAAGTATATTTGTATGAATTTCAGAAAGTAAGGGAGAGGTAGAAAAAGATAGAAACATCAACGATGAGAGAGAATCATGGAACGGATGCCTCCTGCACACCCCACACCGGGGATCGAGCTGGCAATTTTGTTTTGTCGAACCAGTGACATCTTGGTAAATGGGTCTGCACTAAACCACTGGGCCACACCAGTTGGACCAGGCAGAATAATCTTGTTCTAAGATTACTCATAGTAAATTTCCAACTAGGTGTATGGTTCTTATCTGTCCTATTCCATGAGATCTGAATTCCATTAACAAAACTTTTTAGTTCAAAGTTCTCTATGAATTATTTACTGTGTTTTCTTTCTCTGTGTATTCAGAAGTATGGCACATGATTTGGAAATATTGGCATCACAAGTAAAAAGTGAGCTTGTGACACGTTTGGAAACACAGGCCCCATCTCAGAACCTGGATCAGAATCTGTGTCTTTACAGAAGTTCATTTTGTTGTGGTTTGCTTCAACTTGAGAATTCCGTAAACTCCAACCCATCATTGCATTTCTATCTGAGAAATATACCCCACTGGCCGTGAATGATGCAAATGCAGCAGTCAGAAATCCATATGATTTTATCCACGCCTCAATTTAATTAATTTATTTTTTAATATATTTTTATTGATTTCAGAGAGGAAAGGGTGAGAGAGAGAGAGAGAGAGAGAGAGAGAACGAACGAGAGAACAATGGTGAGAGAGAATTCGTGATCGGCTGCCTCCAGTACACCCCCTACTTGGCATTGAGCCTGCAACCCCGGCTTTTGCCCTTGGCAGGAATTGAACCTGGGACTCTTCAGTCTGCAGGCCCACCCTCTATCCACCTGAGCCCACTGAGCCAAACCAGCTATGGCCATGACTTAATTTTAAAGTTTATTTTCTTATATAGGAAAATCTGAATCCTGGATCTATGGACATGTGTCATCCTCATTTGTCAATGTTAGAACACATATCAGAGAATGTTCCTGGGGCAAAGGTATCTGATTCAGGGTACTCCCCTAGGTCCAAACCTCTTCTGACACTGATTTCATGTTGGGTGACTTTGTGAACACTTCTGGAGACCTCTTGGTAAATGTTTCTTATCTTTCAGGGACCGTTGACCTTCAGGGATGTGGCCATAGATTTCTCTCAGGAGGAGTGGGAATGCCTGGACCCAGATCAGCGGAAATTGTACCTGGATGTGATGTTGGAGAACTACAGCAACCTGGTGTCCGTGGGTAAGGATGACTTCCTTCCTGAGTTCCTACTCTACCCGCAGGTTTTTGTTTCACATCTCCATGGCCTTTTCTTTTCTGTGGTAAATTCTTGCTCTCAAGGAACACGTTGGTCCATAGCTGGTTTGGCTGAGTGGATAGAACACCGGCCTGCAGACTGAAATGTTCCAGTGTCGATTCTGTCCAAGGGCAAATGCCAGAGTTGTGGGCTCGCTCCCCAGTATGGGGTGTGCAGGAGGCAACTGATCAATGATTCTCTCTCTTCATTAATGTTTCTGTCTCTCTCTCCTGTCTTCCTCTCTAAAAGGAATAAATATATATAGTTTTTTAAAAAGGAACAAATGGGGAATTCCTTGGTGTAGAAAAGAAACACTTTTTGGTGTGTGTAAATTAGGAACTCAGTGTTTGCACACATTACATTTTCTCTACACTAATGAAGGTAATATCAGAAAGTCATATTTTAAAAATCATTTTCTAGAATATTCTATAGTCTACACTAGAGGCCTAGTCCACGAAATACGTGCATGAGAAGGATCCCTAGGCCTGGTCTCCGCTCTCCCCACCTCCTCCTCCCCTCCCTCTATTAGTGCCCCGCCGCTATCTCTGCTCTCCATCCTTCTTCTGGACCGGCCCCTGGTGGTCAGTGCACATCACAGGGAGTGATGGAACTCCTGGTCTCTGGGTCATACTCCCGAGAGGACAATTTGTACATTAGCCGTGTGTGTGTGTGTGTGTGTGTCTGCTCGCGTGTATGTATATATATATATGGAATCTAATAATAGACAAATAGGATAATTGCCCATACCTTCGCTATTCGCTAATCAGGTTGATATGCAAATTAGCCACCAACAAATATGGCGGTTACTTTTCATATGGAGGCGTGAAGCAGATTAGCGAAGACTGAAGGCGTTATACATACATACATTCATACGTACATACGTAAGTACTTACAGTGGGGCCTTTACTTACGAGTGTCCCGACTAACGAGTTTTTCGAGATGCGAGCCGTCTCTCTGCTGATTTTTGCTTTGAGTTGCGAGCTAAAATTTGGGTTACGAATCAGCTTTAAATACCCCTCCGCTAGTTGGCGCAGCGAACATCACAGAGAACGCCACTGATTTGACATACGAGTAATTTGAGTTACGAGCTCCGTCACGGAATGAATTAAACTCGTATGTCAAGGCACCACTGTACATGCATAAAGGTATACACACACACACACACACACACACACACACACACACACACACACTAGTGTCCCAGTGCACGAAATTATATATATATATATACTAGTGGCCCGGTGTCCCTCAGCCTGGCCTGCAACCTCTCTAATCTAGGACCCCTCAGACATCCCTCTCGCAATCTGGGACCGCTGCCTCCTATCTGCTCACCACCTGCATGCCTGATCGCCCCTAACTACTCAGCCTGCCATCCTGCTTGCCCCCATCTTTCCCCGCCTCCCCCGCCGGCCTTCTCACCCCCAACTTCTTTCCTTGCCGGCCTAATCACCCCCAATTGCCCATGCCACTGACCTGCTTGCCCTCAACTGCCCCACCCACAGCCGGCTTAATCGCCCCAACTGCTTGCCTGCTTATCCCGAAGTGCCCCTCTGCTGGCCTGATCATCCCCAACTGACCCCTTGCGAACCTGCTCTCCCCCAACTGCCCCGCTGCTGGCCTGATCGCCCCAAGTGTCCCGTCCCCCCGTCCCCGTCCCCCTCCCCCGCCAGCCTGCTTGCCCCCAAATGCCTTTTGTGCACTGGGGGAGGGTTTCCCTCAGCCCGTCCTGCAACGTCTCCAATCTGGGGCTCCTCAGGGGATGTCTGACTGCTCGCCCACAATTGGCCACCCTGTTGTTTTTTTTAATATGTTTATTGATTTTTTTACAGAGAAGAAGGGAGAGGGACAGAGAGTTAGAAACATCGATGAGAAAGAAACATCAATCAGCTGCCTTCTGCACACCCTCTACTGGAAATGTGCCTGCAACTAAGGTACATACCCTTGACCAGAATTCAATCTGGGACCCTTGAGTCCGCAGGCCGATGCTCTATCCACTGAGCCAAACCGGTTAGGGGAAGATCATGTTCATTTCAGGGAGGAAGGGAGAGTTAGAGAGATAGAAACTTCAGATGGGCATTAATTGATTTTTTTTTTTGTATGTTCCCTGACCAGAGATCAAACCTACAACGTTGGCATATAGGTACTATCATCTAAGCAACTGGGCTACCTGGGCAGGCAGATTGGATTCTTTCATTTAGTTCTGTGTATCTAGGCTTGTATCATGTCTTTTCATGGCTTGATGTATTATATCTTTATACAAGTGAATAAGACTTCATTGTATATCCTTCAGTGTATTTATCCATTCACCTGTTGAAACCTCTTCATTGTCTCTAGCTTTTGTAGATTATGAATAAGCAGCCCCTTGTAGGCTTTTGAGTAGATAAAAAGGTTAACTCTTTGGTTCAATAGTAAGGAGCCCAATTACTGGATCCCATGGCAAGTGTATATTTAGTTTTATAAAAACCTCCCACCGTCTCCCTAAGGGGCTGTAGCATTTGGCATTTTCAGCAGCAGTGATTGGAGTTCCAGTTGCTCCACCATCACAAAGGCAGTTGGTGGTGTCACTGTTCTGGATTCTGACCTGTACAATGGTGGTTTAGTGTTGCTTGCCTGTGCTGTTTGTTCTCATTGTTTTAATGTGCATTTCCTTAGTGACGTAAGATGTGCAGGATCTTGTTACACTGAATTTCTATGTGTATGTATTTGGTAGTGCTGTGACTTAAAAGTATTTGGCCCTTTTCAGACATGTTGGTTCTTTTGTCAATGTTGAGTTGAACTGTTTCTTTGTGTGTTTTGCATAATTATCCTGTACCTGTTTACTTTTTTATTAATGTATTAATCGCCTGGCACAGATTCATGCACATTGAAAGGAAATTTTAATTAGAAGGGATATTTTAATATCACCCTTCTCTATAATAGAAGTGTCTGAGATGAAAGAAAATGAGTGAAATGTATATGAAAATAATATATAAATTGATTAATGAAGTAAACAGTAACAACATGATATCAGAACCACAAAGACCTAATAAAAAAACAACAAAACATTATGTAAAATGAACAAAAACACGTTATTGAAACAAACATGGAATGATTTTGTAGTCTCATTTCTTTATATTTTGGGTTCTTTATTATGCCTAGGAAGATATATGAAAACCCGTATTTTAAAGAGTGATGGTAAAGTTCATTGAGTATGCTTTCTTCCTGTGTTTTCATGGTTTCGGGTCTCATATTTTTGTTGTTAATTCTTGCTGAGTTCAGTTTGGTTCCCGGCCTTTCAACGGGGTCTAGTTTTAGTATTTTTGCATGTATCTGTTTTATTTTTGTTTAACTACTTGACCAACTGAAGAATCAGTCTTTACCTATTGTGTGGTCTTGCCTTCTGTCTTACAGATTAGTTAACCCTAAAGCTTTGGACATTTTTAAAGTTGTGTTACTTTTTTTTCATGTTGATTTTTAAAAGGTGTTTATATATTCTGGATATTAACTACTTAGCTGATAATATGCTTTGGGGATATTTTTTTCCATTTCACAGCTTGTATTTTTAACACACTGACCATTTGCTTTCATGTGAATAATACTTTTATACAGGGCCCTGACCGGTTTGGCTCAGTGCATAGAGCATCAGCCTGCGGACTCAAGGGTCCCAGGTTCGATTCCGGTCAAGGGCATGTACCTTGCTTGTGGGCACATCCCCAGTGGGGAGTGTGCAGGAGGCAGCTGATCCGATGTTTCTAACTCTCTATCCCTCTCCCTTCCTCTCTGTAAAAAATCAATAAAGCATTTAAAAAAAAAATACTTTTATACAGGGTATAATGCTTTTTGAGTATTTCGTTTTGTTTACCTTTCCGTTTGGTGTTAAAATAAATAAATCAAATGTCATAAAAATGTTTCTATATTACTAGACAGATTGGCTCAGTGGATAGACTGTCGACCTGCAGACTGAATGTTCCTGGGTTCAATTCTGACCAAGGGCACATGAGCAGGTTGCAGGCTCCCATCCCCAGTAGGGGCCATGCAGGAGGCAGACAACCAATGAATCTCTCTTAATGTTTCTATCTCTCTCTCTGTCCCTCTTCCTCTTTGAAATCAATTAAAAATAAAACAAAAACTTTTCTATAACTTTTCTTTTAATAGATTGAGTTGTTATTAGCTTTATGTTTCTATCTTTTATTCATTTTGGTTTAATATTTCTATATGGTGTTTAATAACAGTCCAACTTCACTTATTCCTTTACAGATAGACATCTCGGTATGTCAACCCTATTCGTATATGTGAGAGTATCCTTTGTTTCTTTTGTGGTATAAGCACCCTGTAGAAGACTGTTTTACCTCATGCATGGGAAGTTGTATATGCACATTAGGCTTATGTATACGTATAAGCTCCCATCCCCTCCGAGAATCATCAGTCTGTTCCATTTCCATGCCCCTGATTCTATTACATTCACCAGTTTATTCTGTTTATCAGATATTTTATTCATTTGATTTTTAGATTCACTTGTTGATAGATATGTATTTACTTTTTTCTTAATTTTTTATCTTTACCTTTTACTTCTCTTTCCTCTACTTAAAGAATATCATTCAGTATTTCATATAATACTGGTGTGGTGGTGATGCACTCGTTTAGCTTTTTCTTGTCTGTGAAGCTCTTTATCTGACCTTCAATTCTAAATTATAGCTTTTCTGGGTAGAGTAATCTTGGTTGCATATTCTCCCTATTCATCACTTTGAATATCTCTTGCTACTCCCTTCAAGCCTGCATAGTTTCTGCTAAAAATCAGCCACCAGTCATACGGCTGCACCCTTGTAGGTAACTAACTGTTTTCCTCTTGCTGCTTTTAAGATTCTCTGTCTTTTGCCCTTGGCATTTTACTTATGATGTGTCGTGGTGTGGTCCTCTTTGGATTCCTTTTGTTTGGGGTTCTCTGCGCTTCCTGGACTTGTAAGTTTATTTGTTTTACCAGGTAGGGGAAGTTTTCTGTCATTATTTCTTCAATAGCTTTTCTATATCTTGCTGTCTGTCTTCTTCTGTCACCCCATAATTCGGATGTTTGTACACTATCATCATATTGGGCGTGTTTTGCTTCCTCGTATTTCAAATTTTTGACTTGATTCTTGGTATCCTCTAGTGTACTGTTGAATCCCTGTATATTATTCTTTATTTCAGTCAGTGTATGCTTAATTTATGACTGTTCCTTTTCCATTTTTTGGCATTTTCATTGAGATCTTTAAAGGTCTCCGTAAGTTCTTTGGAGGCTTCTAGAAGATTCTTGATTAGCCTTATAACTGTGGTTTTGAACTCTATATAGAGTAGTTTGCTCACTTCCATTCCTTTCATTTCTGACATGTTTCTTTGTCTCCGCATTTTGGCTGCTTCCCTGTTTGTTTCTATGTACTATGTAGCGGCTCACTCTCCTTGAGTTGTTAGCGTGGCCTTGTGTAGTAGGTGTCCTATGGGCCCAGTGACTCAGCGTCTCCAATCACCTGAGGTAGACACTCTTGGTGCGCCCCTTTATTGCTGTGTGCACAGCATTTTTGTAGTTGAGCCTTGATTGCTGTTGGCATCACTGGGAAATATTGACCACCAGGCCAATAGTCAGTGCTGTCCAGCTTTGCCTACCGTGGGCGAAGTACTGTGCATGAGACAGCCTTATGGGGCAGGACTTACCTCATTGGTGCTGTGGTGCTCACTGAGTATGCTCCTTGAGTGTGTCACTTATGGATGTGAAGAGTTGTAATCTGGTATGGTCTCACACTGACCACTGGATACACTTGCTCTTGGATCTCTAAGGAGATGCAAAGTGAGCCATTGCTTGGGGCACCCAACAGGAGCTGCAGAGAGATCTGCAGATTCTTTCTCTTTGTATTGTGTTTGGAAGTGCCCAGATGAGGTCCAGCTGTGAAGCAAGGCAGGCTGCCGTTGTTGCCAGTTCATGGGCCTTTTTTTTTTTTTTTTTTTGATAACTTTGGAGGTCCCTGACCTAGCTGAAGATTGTTTGACAGGTTTTAGGCTGAGAATGGACAGGCCTTTCATATGCAAAAGCCATGCGCACAACTTGGGTGTGGTATTAAATTGGGTAGGGTGAGGTCTCAGCGAATCGTTAGGGCGGAGCAAACAGCAATGGCTGCCAATCAGCCGTGTACCGGGGAGATCCCAGCCAGAAAACCATGACCGGTGCAAGCACCTCTGTTTGGAAGAAAATTTCCTCCGTGTTCCTGCCCTGATGCCAGATAGTCCAGTTTTTTTTGTTATTTATCTGTGTCCCTCTGACTCTCACAAGGCACTAGAGCTCGGAGCAATCAGAAGGTTGTATCTCCCTCCAAATTAAAAAAGCGGCACATCTGGGTACCAGCCCATTCCATGCCTCTGCACCTCCTACCAGTCTCAATGCACTTTCTTCTTTACCTCTCTACTCAGCCAGCTTTCTGGCCATTCTGGATGATAATTGTTCTGGATATTATTTGTAATTTTGATGTGGCTGTGGGATGCAGCAGATTACAGGTGTTTACCTATTCCGCCATCTGGTGCCTCTCTTCCAGGCAAATTCTTTGATGTTGAAGATGTCTTTCATTAATGATTCTACTGTCTTTTTTAATTCGTGTATTCTGTTTTTCAACTTCCCCTTTCATGGTGGAGTTTGTAAAATACTTTCTCATTGTATTTTTATTTTGGTTCTATAATATTTCAGTGATATTATATAGTTGTCTTTTTTCTCCTTTTCAGCTTTAATATATGTAGTTCCATTCGTTTCTTTACAATATTTTTTTTCTTTCAATTTGTTTATGTGATGTATCACATTTATTGATTTTCGGATATTGTACCATCCTTGCATCCCTGGGATAAATCCTACTTGGTCATGGTGTATGATCTTTCTGATGATCTGCTGGATCCGATTTGCTAAGATTTTGTTGAGGATTTTGGCATCTATGTTCATAAGGGATATTGGCCTATAATTCTCTTTCATTGTGTTGTCTTTACCTGGCTTTTTTTACAATATATTTTTATTGATTTCTGAAACAAAGCGAGTGGGAGATAGAAAAATGAATGATGACAGAGAATCATTGATCGGCTGACTCCTGCATGTCCCCCCAGTTGGTATCAAGCCTTTAACCCAGGCATGTACCCTTGACTGGGTTTGAACCAGGGAACCTGCAGCCCACAGGCAGACAATCTATCCACTCAGCCAAACTTACTTATTCAGGTAATTATTATCTTTCTATTGATATAGTCCCAGTTTGTTTATCTGATGGTACACTTTTTCTGATTCTATGCATGACTTGATATGTTTTGTTGAGATTCTGGTATTGTAAACAACCAGGCTTTTGAACATCCGTTCTATAGAAGGAAACAAATAATAACCATCTGTGGCGCAAATTCTACTTTCATGGAACACTGTTTTGATTCCTGTATTCTTCGTTTTATTGTCTGTTTAATTTCATATTTGAATTGTTCTCTGTGTATTTCTAAGACCCATGGTATCTTTTCAGGCTTGATACACATCTTCCATATTGCAGTCTTTGTGGTGCTCGAACAATTTATCATTGTCTCTTTATAGCAGCCACAACAGGGCACTCACTGTTTACTGCCATTCCATTCGCACTATGTTACATGCACAACAGACACATGTTCTTGAAGATGCTTCAAAACAGCGAGATCATTGAACACGCACTTCCCTCATTTCTATCTCCAGCAAAGAAACTGGGAATTGGAAGTGTTGTGATATTATTGCCATTGTGTGACAGGGGGATTGAGCAGGTATCATTGGCAGATGTTAGCAACTGTTTGCCCCTATTTGATGTGAGTTTTCTTCCTTGTACCTATCTTGAGCTTTCTTTGAATTGTTCACTGGCTCTTAGAGTACTCCAAAATGTCATTTGGTCAATACTTGCTGTGCACTTACCTGATTGTCAAAACTGAAAACTTGTTTTCTTTCAGCTATACCATCTAAAGATAACCAAGCCTTTATGCCAAAGCTCAGAATACAGGATTTATTCCCTGAAATAATACAGGTAAGATATAAAAGGTGTCACTTTGATAATGTACACTTAATGAAAGCCTTGAAATTTGAGGAACAGTGTGATGAGAAGGGAGGCTATTAATAATTAATATAAACAGAACTAATCTGGAACAATTATCATAATAAATTTCTTGGTACCTAACCATGGCAGGTGTACTTTGGATTTGGGAAACCTCCCTTATTAAAGTCAGTGACATTGGCAGATAAGGGTGTTTCTGGATATGAAGGTTGAAAACAACTTTTTACTGTTACCCAATCTTGGAAAGGAAATCTAGAAAAACTAGTAACTCATGTAGCCTCTAGAATAAATAATCATTTGAATTGTTTTAAAGGGAGGATGGCATTAAACTTTCATTGAATCATTTCTAAGAGGTATAAATTTATAGTATATCTATATACTGTGCTCAATTTGGCAATCTTTTATGATTTTTTTTATGAAAAACCTGTTTCTATTGATTTCAGAGAGTAAGGAACTGGAAGAGAGAGAGGAAAACATCACTGATGAGAGAAAATAATTCATTGGCTGCCTCCTGTATGCCTCCCATTGGGTACTGATCCCCGAGCTGGGCCATGTGCCCATACTGGGAATGGAACCAGGATCTTCTTGTTTACACTTCAAAGCTCAACCACTGAGCCATGCTGGCTGGGCATTTGGCAATCTTTGCTACAAGGATTCATTCTTCTTTCTCTAATAATTAAGGTGTTGTGTTTATATTTTGTCTATCATCCTATATAATAACAGCCTAATATACTAAGTTTTTGGTGGTCCGGTCATCTGTTTAACCAATCAAAGCATAATATGCTAACGATAGGTTAAGGACACTCAATTGCTCCCTATGATATGCACTGATCACCAGGTGGTAGACGCTCCATCCGGTAGGTTAGCTTGCTGCTGGGGTCTGGTTGATCAGGACTGAGCAAGATGGGCCCTACAGGCCCTGGCGCCTACCCACAGTCCCTCTCTGGCTGGCCAAACTGTCGAATCCCTCCCCGCCCCCAATCATGCACCTCTGGGGTCCCTCTGTCTGGCCTGCATAATCTCACAATCCGGCACCTGTCAGGGGATTTCAAAGAGTTGGTTTCAGCCCGATCCTGCAAAACATTAGAGCTGCCCCCTGGTGGTCAGTGCACTCCCACATGGGTAGCATCGCTCAGCCAGAAGCTTGGCTCACAGCTGATGAGTGTAGGGGCAGTGGCAGGAGCTTTTCCCACCTCTGAGTGGGCCTAAGCCAACAGCTGGACATCTCCCCAGGGCTCCCGGACTGCATGAGGATGCAGGCTGGGCTGAAGGATACTCCCCTGAGTGCAAGATTTTTATACACCAGGCCTCTAGTTTTAATATATTAGGATTGCTTTAATGAGTATCACAAAATGGTTCTTATGGATCTAGTGTACATGTTTAATGTGATTATAACTCACTAAAGATCTTTCTGTCCCCAATTATCACCAGAATACACAAAATGAAGATAGCAGTTATCAGTGGATTGAACATTGGAACAAATCTAAGAAAGAGTCATATCTTAATCATCGGACAAGTGAGCTCACAGGGGACCATCATAAAAGTGGAAATGTCTTTGACCAAATGTCCTTTCACAATATATGTCAGGTTATTCCTGTTGTGGAAAACACACACAAACTCAGGGAAAATCGAAAAGGCTTTAGTCAGTCCTCAAGACATACTCAACATCATAGAAATCATAGGGATGAAAAACCGTATAACTGTTCACAATGTGGCAAAGCCTTTAGCCTACCCTCCACCCTTATTCTTCATCAGAGAATGCACACTGGAGAGAAACCTTATAAATGTAAAGAATGTGGCAAAGCATTCCGCCAAGCCTCATACTTGAATCGACATCAGAATGTTCATACGGGAGAGAAACCTTACCAATGTAGAGAATGTGGCAAAGCCTTTAGTGATTCCTCCAACCTTAATCGTCATCAGCGTATTCATACTGGAGAGAAGCCTTACCAATGCACAGAATGTGGCAAAGCATACATTGAGTTTGCAACACTTAAACAACATCAAACAGTTCATACTGGAGAGAAGCCTTATAAATGTACAGAATGTGACAAAGTCTTTCGGTGTTCCTCAAGACTTAGAATTCATCAGAGAATTCACACTGGGGAGAAACCTTACAGATGTAGAGAATGTGACAAAGCCTTCAGTAATTCCTCCTCCCTTAATAGACATCAGACAGTTCATACTGGTGAGAAGCAATACAGATGTACAGAGTGTGGCAAAGCCTTTGGGGACTCCTCATCCCTTCGTTATCATCGGAGAGTTCATACTGGAGAGAAGCCGTTCAAATGTAAAGAATGTGGCAAAGCATTCAGTTTGGCATCATCCCTTAATTATCATCAGAGTGTTCATACTGGAGAGAAGCCTTATAAATGTAGAGAATGTGGCAAAGCCTTTAGCAAGTACTCACACGTTACTTCTCATCAGAGAGTTCATAGTGGAGAGAAGCCTTATAAATGTAGAGAATGCGCCAAATCCTTTGGCACCTCCTCAGACCTTACTAGGCATCAGAGAGTTCATTCTGGGGAGAAGCCTTATAAATGCAGAGAATGTGGAAAAGCCTTTAGCCAGTCCTCGCTCCTTATTTCTCATCAGAGAGTTCTCCATGAAGAGAAGCCTTATAAATGTAGAGAATGCACCAAATCCTTTGGCACGTCCTCACACCTTACTAGGCATCAGAGAGTTCATACTGGAGAGAAGCCTTATAAATGTAGAGAATGTGGCAAAGCCTTCAGCCACTCTAACTCCCTTAATCAACATCACAGAGTTCATACTGGTGAGACTCCTTATAAATGCAGAGAATGTGGCAAAGCCTTTAGCCAGTCCTCGCTCCTTACTTCTCATCAGAGAGTTCATACTGGAGAGAAGCCTTATAAATGTAGAGAATGTGGCAAAGCCTTCAGCCACTCTATATCCCTTAATCATCATCAGAGAGTTCATACTGGTGAGAAGCCTTTCAAATGTAAAGAATGTGGCAAGGCATTCAGTTTTGCAGCATCCCTTAATTATCATCAGAGTGTTCATACTGGAGAGAAGCCTTTCAAATGTAAAGAATGTGGCAAGGCATTCATTTTTGTATCATCCCTTAATTATCATCAGAGAGTTCATACTGGAGAGAAGCCTTATAAATGTAGAGAATGCGCCAAATCCTTTGGCACCTCCTCACAGCTTACTAGGCATCAGAGAGTTCATTCTGGAGAGACGCCTTATAAATGCAGAGAATGTGGCAAACACTTCAGTCAGTCCTCACATCTTATATATCATCAGAGAGTTCTCCATGGAGAGAAGCCTTATAAATGTAGAGAATGTGGCAAATCGTTTGGCTTCTCTTCAGACCTTACTATGCATCAGAGAGTTCATTCTGGAGAAGCCTTATAAATGTAATGAATGTGGCAAAGCCCTTACCAAGTCCTCATCTCTTAATTATCATCAGAGGGTTCACACAGGAGAGAAGCCTTATACATGTAGAGAATGTGGCAAAGCCTTCACTGGGTCAGCAAGCTTTACCAGCCACCAATGAATTCATACTGGAGAGAAGCCATGTAAATGTAATGAATGTGGCAAAGACTTTAGCTAGTCCTCATCCCTTTCTTGTCATCAGAGAGTTCACACTGGAGAGAAGCCTTATGAATGTGGAGAATGCAGCAAATCCTTTGGCATCTCTTCAGATCTTACAAAGCATCGGAGATTTCATTCTGGAGAGAAGCCTTATAAATGTAGAAAATGTAACAAAGCCATTTATCAGTGTTCCTGTGTTACTGTACAGCAGAGTGTTCATAATTGAGAGAAGTTTTACAGATGTGAGGAGTGTGGTAAGTCCTTCACCAGCTGTGAGAGCTTATTTAACATCACAGAATTCATACTGGAAAGAAGGCTTATGAATGTGAAAAATGTGAAAAGCATTTAAAAGCCGATGCATTACTGTACTTGATCAACATCAGAACATAAAGAGACCTTCCAGATGTAGAAAATGGTCTAGAGCGTTTGCCCATAGCTTAAATTTACATCAGACATTTTATAGTGGAGGGAAGCCTTATATTGTAAAAAATGTGAGAAAGCCATTAGCCTTTGGTCAAATTTACTGAACATTTTAGGAATCATTCTGAAGAGAAACAGCAGTAATATAAAGTTTTTACCCAAAGATTTAACCATGGTTGAATTGTCATTGAAAATGATAAAATTGAGCCTTAAAAATTATGAGGCATATGTCAAAGTGTATATCCTTATTTGTATCTTATACAACATCTGGTAATTACTACTGGATCGAAGCCCAGCAGATATAAAAAATGTGACAAAGCTTACTTAGTATGCAAACCTTACACGACATCAGAATTCATACTGGGGAGAAACAATACAAATTTAAACAGTGTCCTACAGTCTTTAATCAGTATCTGTAGCTTATTCCTCACATTGGAATTCATTCTAGAGCAGGGGTGGGCAAACTTTTTGACTCGAGGGCCCCAGTGGGTTCTTAAACTGGACCGGAGGGCCGGAATAAAAGCATGGATGGAATGTTTGTGTGAACTAATATAAATTCAAAGTAAACATCATTACATAAAAGGGTATGGTCTTTTTTTTTTTTTTTTTTTTTTAGTTTTATTCATTTCAAACGGGCCAGATCCGGCCCACGGGCCATAGTTTGCCCATGGCTGTTCTAGAGGGAAACCTTAAATGTTAAGAACGTGGGAGATCATTTAGTGGGACCTACAGCCCCAGTCAATACCAGGGATTGTAATTGGGTAGAAGTTCAATATTTATGATATAGGAGGAAGGACTTTTAAAATATATATGTAGTTTACAAAAATCCAAGGAATTTATGCCTTAAAATGACTTTAAGATGTAAAAACTTTATCCAACTATGTAATTGCTTATGAATTTTAATGTATCACTGAATTCACACTAGATAGGTAGCCAAAATGCCTTTCAGTATTGCTCTACGTCGGAATGTTAACTACAGTATACTCCAAACTTTAAATGTAGTTAGGTAATATTTTGTATACTTGAATGTATCAAAAGAATTAATGTTTCCATATGTACTATTGCTTAGAGTGTTATTTAAATTGAAAACATATGAAGTATTTTCAAAATAAATTTGATCTTACTCCCATCTCACTTGATGTTGCTATATTTTATTCCTGGTGTGTTTGTGAAATCATGGAGTTGGTTGTTTCTGCCTTAAAGATCTGTGAGCTGGCCCTGGCTGGTTTGGCTCAGTGGATAGAGCCTTGGCCTGCAGACTGAAGGCTCCTTGTGGGCAGCAATACAATGGTGAGCGGCTCAGCAGCAACAGAGCAGGCAGCAATACAATGGTGAGCGGGGCCTGAGCCCCGCCCGCCAGCCCAGACAGGGGCCCTCTGAGAGAGAGAGAGAGAGAGAGAGAGAGAGAGAGAGAGAGGCGGAATTTGGCACCCCGCATCCCTCCCTGATCAACCACTGTGATTCAGCCTAGCGAGGGCTGCCTTCAGGCCACGGCTCCAGGTCCCTCATCCCCACCCCAGGCCCGAGAACACAGTGCTGGGCAGAGGCACCCACTGGTTCCGGAATGCAGCGTACCGAGGGGCCAGCATGAGGTCGTGGGGGGGGGCTGTATTTACACCACCAAGTTCCCCACTTCTGCCCTGGCCCACATCCCTCCTCCTTCCCCTCAGAGGCCCAGCTCCTGCCTACATGCTTGCTGGGCAGGTGCAACTGCACCGGAGAGTGAGCTATGGCAATCAGGATGGCCACTTCCTGGGATGAGATGGCCAGACCACAGGGATTCATGAGGGCAATGAGGCCCATGGGACATGCACAGCCCTCCAGCAGTGGGGGTGGCCAGCCAAGCCAAGTCTGGCTACAGTGGGGCCAGTGGGAGCCTGAGGCCACCCCAACCCCCACAGTTCCTGGGCAGACGATGGCTCAGTGGAGAGTGGTATCTCCATGCATGGTGCCCAGGGGTGGCTGTGAGCTGCTGCAAACCCACCCCATGCTTCAGGAAGGGGGAGAAGGCTCGCAGCCACCAGCACCCTATGCTGTACCTCCTTGCCTGTGCCTCAGCCTGCCAGGTTGGCAGGATCCAGAGAAGGTGAGCTGTTCCCTTCCCCTAGTGGTAGAACAGGGAGGAGAGCGCTGAGAGCAGGGAGGGGACCTCAGCTGGGATCCTCCTGGTGTGGGCCCAGGCAGGGGCCGGTGCAGAAGTACCAGGGCCCAGTTGCTTCGGTGTCTCGGTGAAGTTTGCAACTGACCCAAGGAGGAAACCCGAGAGGGGAAAGGCCGGGAGGCATGAATTGCCAGCACTGTAGCCACTTGAAAACAGCTCCACTTGGAATATGAGGTGGTTGTATGTTCAGCTGAGAAGTGAGGGGGCTGAACTCCACCATCGCTGGGCTCCTGTCAGTCCAAGGCCCAAGCGTCCACCACGACAAGGGGAGAAGAGAGCAAGGGGCCCGGAGGAAGGGAGGATCTTCTATTGGGGATGTGCCCGCAACCCAGGTACATGCCCTTGACCAGAATCGAACCTGGGACCTTTCAGTCCTCAGGCTGACGCTCTATCCACTGAGCCAAACCGGTTTCGGCTGAATAAATCTTTTAAAATAGTTTCGAGTTTTGTAAATGATGCCATCAAAGTCACTTTTTTTTCTGTGCCAATGGGTTCAGCTGAAAACTTTTTGAGGGCATGTCCATTTGTGGTTGTCACATGTAGGTAACTGGAACTACACTCAGGAGAGTGCTGTCTGTGTAATATATTTTCCATAATTGAGAGGAATATTGCAGTAGCAGTGACATTGTTGTACTCAGGATGCAGAATTGGCATGAACTCTGCAGGGGAGAGAGGAAACGTTTCCCAGACTGAACTGCTGGCTGAACTCAGAAAAATAATTATATCTTTCATTTTCCATTTCCTGTTCCTCTCTGGTTTTTCACTTTGTCTTCTAGGCTGCCATTCTTTTTGCAGTGCTATGACCACAGCATGTAAAGCTCTTCCTGTCCCACATCAGCCATTCAAACCTCTGTAACTTCCACCCAGCAGTTTGGAATTTATAATGCAATGACTGACATCAGAATTGGGGGAATATTTTGCTTTATGTGCCCCAATCTGGGCTCAAACTCACAATCCTGGCACATTGAGAGGGCGCTCCAACTAGCAAAGTTACTCCTTGGCCAGGACAACATTAATGAATCTTTTTGTTGTTGTGAATCCTCACCTGAGGCTATTTTCCCAGTAAATTTTAGAGAAAGTGAAAGGAAAGGGACAGACAGAGAGAGAAACATCAGTGTGAGAGAGACACCTAGATTGGTAGCCTACTGCACAGGCTAGGGGTCCAGCCTGAAAGGTAGGTACGTCCCCTTTACCGGAAGCAAAGCCAGGACTTTCAGCCCATGAGCCAATGATATATCTGCTGAGTGACACCGCCTAAGGCCAGAATTAATGATTCTTAAGCTAAAAATATATCCCAATAGCCCCCGCCCGCGCTCGATTGCTCCTGTCTGGCGGCGGCAGCATGGCGGCGGGGGCGGTTGGGGCGGCGGCAGCGGCGGCGGCGGTAGTGGAGGTCGGCTCACCCCAGCAGTTTGAGGAGCTGCTGCACCTCAAAGCCAAGTCCCTCGTTGTGGTCCATTTTTGGGCACCATGGGCTCCGCAGTGCGCTCAGATGAACGACGTGATGGCAGAGTTAGCCAAAGAGCACCCCCAGGTTTCGTTTGTGAAGTTGGAAGCCGAAGCTGTTCCTGAAGTATCTGAAAAATATGAAATTAGTTCTGTTCCCACGTTTCTGTTTTTCAAGAATTCTCAGAAAATTGACCAATTAGATGGTGCACATGCCCCAGAGTTGACCAAAAAAGTTCAGCGACATGCATCGGTGGGCTCCTTCCCACCCAGTGGTAGTGAGCACCCCAAAGAAGACCTCAACCTTCGCCTGAAGAAATTAATTCATGCTGCCCCCTGCATGCTGTTTATGAAAGGGACTCCGCAGGAGCCGCGCTGTGGTTTCAGCAAGCAGATGGTGGAAATTCTCAACAAACACAATATTCAGTTTAGCAGTTTTGATATCTTCTCAGATGAAGAAGTTCGTCAGGGCCTCAAAACCTATTCCAATTGGCCCACCTACCCCCAGCTCTATGTGTCTGGCGAACTCATAGGAGGACTCGACATAGTGAAGGAGCTGGAAGCATCTGAAGAACTAGATACAATTTGCCCCAAAGCCCCCAAATTAGAGGAAAGGCTCAAAGTACTGACAAATAAAGCTTCTGTGATGCTCTTTATGAAAGGAAACAAACAGGAAGCTAAGTGTGGATTCAGCAAACAGATTCTGGAAATACTAAATAGTACTGGTGTTGAATATGAGACGTTTGACATATTGGAGGATGAGGAGGTGCGGCAGGGACTGAAGACCTTCTCCAACTGGCCCACGTACCCACAGCTGTATGTGAAAGGGGAGCTGGTCGGAGGGCTGGACATCGTTAAGGAACTGAAAGAAAACGGCGAATTGCTGCCTACACTGAACGGAGGAAATTAATAACAGTTAAGTGTGGCGCCCAACTCGTGCAGGAAATACTTCGCTACAGCCGAGCGGCTCGCGGCCAGGCCTCCCCACGGACGCGGGAGGAAAGGCCCCTCCCGTCGCTGTGTCCCACAAAGCCGTGCTAAAGACCTGTGTTACCATTTCCCCACCCAAACTAGAGCGCAATAAACCAGTGAAAAGCAAAAAAAAAAAAAAAAAAAAAAAAAAAAAAAAAATATATCCCAATAACATCTTCAGTGTAT